AATGATTTTTGTAACCTGACAAGAACTATTTGCCTCTGCGGTGTCACATTAAAACCGGAGCTGCTGTGCAGTCTAGTAAACAAACTCATTCATACATATATCGTATAATTCTGGAGGAGCGATGGCTCATTGAATAAAAGAGGACAAAGCACTTAAAATCATCCCCGAAGATAAATCCATAGTTTTCGTCACAAACCGGAGTACGGAAGTATGGAAGGGACAGATAACAAGGTCCGACTGTTCGCAGAGCACTGCAGACTCGATCCAAGAAGGTGTTGGAACGAGGGCTGACAGAGTTGATGGAAGTGGTGATTGTGTGGGGCGGATTTTAAGCATAAATCACCACGATGACACCGCTCTCCAATAGGCAGATAAGTGCACATTAGTGGTAAGACAGATATGTCATCGTCTGTCTTTGAGCCGTTCCTGTCACCCTCTTCCCGAAAGAATCTGTGACTTGGGAGGGGTCCAGTCTCGTTGTCTGTCTAGAACACAAGGATCCAATCTGAAAGGGTCTCTCACACTCTTTTATTATCGCTTCACAGCATTTTAGCTGCTGTGATCAGGGTGTCTCGCACAAAATAATCCTTGTGTAATTTTCTTGAAATATGAAAATGATACAGAAGCAAGTACCTTATAATTATTTACATCATGGATTGGTCAATAACTTATTCTTCCGTTATAAATCATGTCCCGGTCAGTGTGACATCTTACAGCATTTTGTTTTATCTGAACACACAAAACAGAGAAAAGCAGCAAATCATTAATAAGCCGGAGGCAGAAAATATTTGGAGTTAAGTTTTTGATATTTTTGATAGAGCAGATTCAGTGTCTGGTCATCAAGCAACAGCTTGATTGCATGATGGTCGCAGCTCAAAATACAACACCATGCCAAGATCATGTTTCTTACATACACTAAAAGGTATGCAGCTCTTTATCGTGCAAATGTATTTTATTTGACAGCAGGGCATTTTGAAAATGGATATACAGTTTAATGTGAACTGGGTGATGCTCCAAATCCTGATTTCTACAGGCACAACAAGGATAATCTAATAGGACGGCGAATATACAGATAATGAGCCATTAGCCACAGTCAATATCATCTCCAGAAGGCCTTGAGTACTCAGACAGTGTTACAGAGGGAGGGAGAGATCTGTGCCAAATAAAAGACAAGCTGGAAAGCTCCCCAATCAATGTTATTTTCCCTCCCAGTCCCAGACCAACTGTCTATTCATCTGTTTCTCTCAAAATGAAAGGTGTGCTGGTATGTAACACTTACAGACGAGAGATCTGTCTCTTAATTAAAATGTTACAGATTGTGTTTCACAGACAGCATACAGCGGGCTGAAAATGAGGTTCCCTACAGTGGGCCGCGTGGAGCGGACGGGGTCAATAAAAGATGTTGATCATTGAAACATAGTCAAGCGCAGCAACGTTTGGGAGGTGACTGAACACGGGGGACGACGACAACAGGAAACAAAGCTTTGTTTGAAAAACAGGTTGACGCTACAACATACGCTGGTCTACATAATCCATCAAGTACGTGGCCTTTGGGGCGGATTTTACTTTTAAAGGAGTTGGAAATATACATCAGTGTACATGTGGTTCTGGACTGACAATCTCATTCTGAATAGAGGCATATGAATAATTTATCTCGCCACACAATCCAACTGGGAATGCCCTTGGTATTTACATTTTATCATCAAGGGCAATGGATGAGCCTCCATGGTAATCCAGCATATGACACACACACAGTCCTTGTCCCTCAGCGCGATCATATGTGCCGGATGGGACTAAGAAAATGTCTCTGTAGCCTGGCTGTTTAATTGATATATGCAAAGAGAAAACAACAGACGGATGAACATGCTGCGCGATGACTAAGCACCGTGATCTTAACATTACCTAGCGCGCGGCGGATAAAAAAAAGGGACACGTGAAGAGAACCGCTTCGCACAATGGCGCCGATGTTTACAGGAGACAATTTAGTTTCCTTCCAACAATTATGAGGGCAATTGAATCTCAGGAAGTGTTCGTTTTCTTGTCCATTAGACCACACAATAACGCCATCCCCAGAGGTTTACAAAAACATCTGTCTTCAAGGGACAGTCCAGAAAATTAATATCAGCTCGCTTGCGGGTTATGTCAGGAGAAAGTAAATCAATTTGACCCGACAACACTTTTTTGTTTTGTCTCTGAACATTCAGGAGAACCAAAATGTGTCTCTGTTTAGTAAAAAAAAGATATACTTGACTAAAGTTAGGATGGCTGCATTAATGTTTAAGGTAGATATTGTCACTGAGAACACAAATGAGTGTTTGTATTAGATATTTTGTATATTTTTTAAACCCACTTGAAAGTGTTGGAAAGAGAAGAGTGCCTGTTTATTGTGTGATATAAATGGAAACAAAAGTACCTTATGCTAATCAAAATAAGAGGCCATTTTCACTTCAGAATGAACAAGCATCATCCACTGACAACGTCATTTGCATGGTTAATCTTTTCTGATGTTGACTGAAGTTTGTATGCAGTGAGATTATCCTGTTTTCAATTGTCAAGCACCTAAAATGTCTATTTATGTATTTTTTTGTTGATGCCTAGAACCAGACTAATCTTTTTTATGGCTTATCAACTTTTGTAATTTATTCGCCCAAAAATGACAAAATAGGTCCTTGCTCTCTCCTTTATACTTAAACAGGGTTGAGGGAAACATGAACAAATGTACCCTTTATCCTTTCTCCTTCTCTCCATCTCTCCAAGCTCCTTATTTTCTAAAAGTATCTGTTTGAGAGATAAATGACCACTCTGCTGCCGAGGATGACAGCCTACACAAAGATGATATTGAATTGATTTCAGAAATGTTGCAGAACTGACTGTTTGATGTATACTGCTGGACATGAATCATAAAAATTCTATTAAAAAACCCTTGAATGGCTGACACCAGAATATTATTTGTGATGATTAATTTGACTCAGTCATTACAATGGGAGTCAAGTTGGATCGTCTCCGACAAAATTGCTTTTCATTCCCCGTTGAATTTCCTTGCTATTTTTCTTTTCTTTTCTTTTTTTCCCATACCGAGCTCTCATCTGATTGGACCCGCTGCGTTAGCACAACATCACGCACACACGTGTTGGCCGTTTTTTTTATTACTGATGGTTTAGCATAAATTTTTGTTCCAAAATGAGGAATTTAACGTATGAAACAGAATTATACTGCGTAGAATTTCAAGTTGTTTCAGTGGTATTCAGAGTTGGAAAAGAATACTTACTTCTTTCTTAAACATCTGGGGAAATGTGTCTTAATATATAGAATACTTAAATATGATCTTATAGAGCTCAGAGCACAATGATGGTCAAGGACCACTAATGCTGTGGTCATTGTATAAGATGTTAATTTGAAGTAGCATTTCTAATATTTTTGCGCTCTTTTTCTCTCTAATTAAAATGTTTCCCCTATGTCATTATACCGTTATGTCAAACTTACTGGACCAAAGTACTTGATGCAAATGTGGCACATAAGCACATCACTGGCACATCACTTTCCTGCTGTCTAAACTCATTTGCAAAATGTTCATTTCTTAAGCTGCAGTGTCAACTTAATGTTTACACATATTAATCAGTAAAGGTGTGAGACTGAGTGGATGTAATTGCTGTTCTAATAAAATACGTATTAGTCAGGCAAAAAAAAAAAAAAAAACTCCTCTTGCATTGGCATTTTTAGTTTCTATGAGGTGTTTTCACACATTAGAATGCAAACCAAGGCTCAACCCCAAGCACGCAGAGAACTTGACATATTTCCACCAATAGTACCAAGAATGTTAATAGATTGAAAATAATGGGTAGATTAGGCAAATTAAGTCTTTTGAGGTGTTAAACATCATCCTCAGTCGAGTGTCAGGTTGGCAGTGCTGGTTGGAGAGCAGCGTACACAGCGGTATGAACTGAGGGAGTGTGTGTCAGCTCTTTTCTCAGGTGGAATTCTTCATGATGGAAATGAAATGCTAATGACGGAGACAGAAAGGTGAAAATGAAATAGGGAGTCATATTTGCCAAATTAGGCAATAGCTCTCCCCTAAAGCATCCAGGTGAAGTACTTCCTCCCACCTCCAGTCTTTTTTAAGGGGACCCTCTAAAAGAGTCCTGCTGCACTGAAAGATTCCCGCAATTGCAAAATGCAACTGATGACCTCTCATTATTACCAGCATGGACTTTTCCGTATTTGTGAAATTGATCAGATTGTCGACTCTCGAGCATCTGGTATTGGCACGTTGTCAAATTTGGCACTTAGCCTATTGGCTGCATGAGCTACTGTAGAAAGTAGCAACTTACTCTCTCTGCTTCTCATTTTATCACCTGTCACACTTAATGTCTGAAGTTTTTCATGCAGACTTTTTATAACATTGTATTGTAGTACTTCACATTTTTGACATCAAGAAATAAAACAAACCATACAGAGGGTATGGGGGTTTGTTCTGTTTATGCTGAAGAGTCTAAAAGTGTAAATTAAGCACAATAGGTCTTCCTGATTTTATGGAAAACAATTGAATAGATTAATAAAAAGATTACTACACAAGCAGGCAAATGTAACTTAGAAATAAAACATTCTTACTAAGTATCCAAAGCCAACCAAAAACCCACCAATTATTAAAAAGTAAGCATATGGAAGGAGAATCTTTATGATCTTCTGTTTACTGTTAGGCAAACCAACTGAATTTAAAGTCAGTGATTAAATTATGTTTGACAGAATGCTGTTCAAAAGGCTTATTTTTAGCCTCTCCTGAAGGAAATAATGAAGGGATTTTTAAAGCTGGTGCTGGTGTTTTGTTTTACTGACGAAATACTGACATTTATTCATTTATCTTAATCTAAGCCCAAACGCATCTCACATACATACATATCCCCTATGCAGTGTTTGTGCCTCATAAACACTTTTTACGCAAGTCTCATCTGTTTTTTTTTTTCCTGATCATTAATTATTTCGGCCTCTGTCTCTCCGTGCAGAGCTACACGGGTCAGACGGGCGGTGGCGGAGGAGGAGGCGGAGGAGGTGGCAACTCCAGTGGAAATGGAGCTGGGGACGAAGACTACGAGATCCCCCCCATCACTCCTCCCAACCATCCCGAGCCCCCTCTCCTACACCTGATGGAGCATGACTCTACAGGCTACCTCTGTCACTCCCTGCCACACAACGGGCTCATCAACCCGTACTCCTACCCGGAGCTGCCCACACTCATGATGTCCAACATGCTGGCACAGGATGGCCACCTCGTGTCAAGCCAAATGCCCTCGGTGAGTAGAACCCCCAGAAATGGTGAAACTCACAAGGGCCCTGAACTTTGGCATCACAGAGCGGATGTTTGAGAGGGAACTATTTTTTTTTTTTCTAGATTTGAACTCTTTGACATGCTGCTCAACCATTCGGTCGAGCACATTTTTCACTGATTATACTCAGTCATAGGATATAATATAGAAAGTGCATTTACCTAAAGTAGCTCCAACTTTAGGTTTGTGATGACTAAATTAAGCATGCAATTTCAAAATATTGCCATAAAGTGTCACCCCGACTATATGTGAAAAAAAGGGTTGTTATTGCTTCAAAGTAATGGAAAAAATGCAAAGAAATACATTCTCGACCTTTTTTCCCAGTGTAAATTTTAAAGGATTAAGGCCTGTTTAGATTGTCAACTGTTTTAAACTAAACACAGCTGTCAACTGTCTCAACAAAGAAAATCAAACAACAAAATGAGCTATACTGAGACAGATATGTTATGAATAAGAAATATGGAATATCTGTGAACGCTGTCACAATGGTGCAAATGATGAAAGTATTCACAATAGAGCCATTTGAAAATAAATCAACCTTGTTACGACTTACAATGCCTGATATGAAACAAACTAAACCCTTAAAAGGTAAAATGTCATTTTCAAGATAAGTAGGCTGGGGTTAAGTGGGGGGACCAAATGATTGTTCAGTGGCTGCCTCGTCAGCTCCAATGCATGAAGAAGAGGATTGTGGGTAAATCCATCAGCATCATATCAGCCTTGACAGCATGCATCAGTCAATTTGTCAGGCCTTCAAACATGAATATGTGCTGATTACTCCCTGAGCTTAACAAAAAAAAAGCTCCTCCATGAATTAACATCACCAAACCATAATTGCTTTAATCAGAACTGTTAGAAAGAGAACGATTTATGTAAAGCTTATATATAGAAAGTGTTTTGGACTGCAATCTCTATTTAGAATCTTACTTATATTGAGCCCTAAAGGGGTTATACTGTATCTCCCTCGATCTGGAGCTGGGCTTCAACTTTAATTATTCAGTTTTTTTGGTTCACTACTTTATGGGTAAAAGGTAAGTATTGAGGCCAAAAAGGGTCCTCTAAATGCATCCCTTTGAAATCTGAACTAAAGGTATTTTTCATTGATTGCAGCTCTGAGATCTCAATGAAAGAATAGACACGGTAAACAGTATTAATGTAAATAAGATTATTTTGCATTCAGGGTTTGAAGGTACAGAATTTCAATCCTTCATACCTTACTTTATATTGACTGAAACACTATAAACAGCTACAGAAATAGTCATTTAATAGATTATCAATGACAGTTGCGATTATCTTTGTTCTTCACTGGTCTTTTAGTGTAGCAGTAGCGTTGTTTTTATATGCTCATAGAAATGTAAGAGTGCCTGATATATAAAGTAGGTATTCAATGCATAGATGCATGCCAAGGTCAAGCATGACTTATATTTTAATGCTCATATTTAGAAGAGATAGAGGCAGTCAGCCTGTAGTGAAAATATGTGATGATAAAGATCTGAAATATAAACATGCAATGTGTTTTCTATAACACAAGAATATTCCTCCCCGAGGTATTAGAACCATGTGTCATTTATCTTCATGTTCATTTCACATTTGGTCATGACCTTTTACTGTGGAGACAGTGGTTGATTGGCCAGTCTCTCAGTCCACCGTCAGTGTGTTTGAATCTGCTACAGACTACCACGATCTGTTTTTAATAGATTGAATACAGCGTGCTGTGTGATAAAAATGCATGAGATCCCAGATGTCTGGAACACACACGATGAACGTGCATTTAAAGCGTGTGTACAGACAAAGGTTGGCCATTGCTGTTTCGTGTTGTCGGTGGTTTATTTGAAGGGAATTGCTCGGGAATGAGCAATTCTGTCTTGGAATTAGGTGTAAGACTGTAAATGTTGTTTTGTTTGGAGCATAAGACACAAAGCCCTGTGACAGCCTGACCAGACCAGGATGAACATCACCTCTCACCCCATGCCATCTGGGTAATGAAAATAGATGGGCGCACTTCAAGCACATAAATAACAAATTAACTTAAAATGAAATTAGAGGAATCAGTAATTCACCGTCAAATTTGATAAGATGACTGAGATCGTTTTCACATTATACCCTCAAAGTAACCCCCCCTAAAAGCCGAGCTCTAACTTCCTCCAAAAGAAGGTTGGAGATCTTTTCTCTGCTTTATTTAAACTTCACTGCAAAAGGCAGCGCATAAAAAGAGCTCACTCTAAATCAAATAGCCTGCCTGGCTAAACTACCAAACCGTAGCAGAGGTTCGTTTGTGCTGAGAACTGAGTGTCTATTAAATTGGTGCCTCACCTTGACACAGTCTGTTGAGCAGAGTAATTAAGCAAACCCTGCAGTTCAAACATGAGATGGTATCATTATGAATTCCTCATTTGACATGGATGGATAAATAATGGGGGCTAATTCAAATTTTAGGCTTTTTTTTTGTGCGCTGTTTCATACGTCCGCTTCACTCGTACTCTATGCGTGTGTTGAAGTGCGTATTTGTATTTCTGGGTCTTCACTATAAACAATATTGCTGCTGTTGAAATGGATCCACTACATCTGGAGGTCAGGCCTTATATTCAATCTTGAGCACATTGAAAAAAAAAATCCATTAGGGTTCATCTTTCCTGCATCAGCCATTCTATTGTGGGGCTGCAGTGAGATCTGTTTTCATCAGGCAGATTCAATACGTGAGCTGGGCAATGAAAAGAGTGCAATAGAGTTGGATGAAGGTGGGGGTGGGTCGGGGGATTGTGGCAAGAAAAGCAAGAAGAAATTGTAAAGAGGTAAAAAAGTAACTCTTATTCAAGATGAGCTTATTCCTCCAGCTTTCTGTACCCAACGGGTTTCATTATTAGATGTTTTAGACATAATTCAGTTGAGTGAAATAAGGTTAGCCTGTATCAACAAAAGAACGAGAGCTCCTGTTTTTTAAATGTGTGCCTGTTTCAAACAAGTATGTGGGCATTTGGAAAGCCCCTCAGTGCAGGTGCCTTAGTAAATAAGCATACAAAAAAATAGGCTATTTGCATTATATCAAGGATTATGATACAAAGAACAGCATATTTGTGAATGAAATGAAAAAGGCCAAAATACATTTGGATATAAATCTGGGAATTCATGATAACACTTTTCACTCACTGGATTGTACAACCAACTGGCCAAAACTATCAAAATTAACTTGGACATGCTGTGTTGTGTTTGAAAAAAAGATCAAATAAAATATTGGGTTAATCACATTAGCATAAGCAGATTTTTTTTTTTTTTTTTTTTAATCTTGGACAACAGTGAAGATGGAAGTTATGTCATATGCATAATCTGCATCTGAGTGGCTGCAGAATGTCCTGGTAGTGCACATCGAGCCCAAATCATCCGCCTTCTACAGCTGTGTTTGACAGTTTGTGCGAGGGGAATGTGCAGATGTGCTATGTTTGGTTTTCTCCCAACACGGTTCTGTTCATTATAACTAAACATCTCCACTTTCCCCTGTCAAAAAAGACATCGTTCCACTTTGCAGACCGACGCCATGCAAAGGGGTTTTAACTGGCAAAGCCCACGAAGAAGCCAGATTTGTTCAGTCTTTTTTCTATAGTGGGGCTTTGAGTGGCCTGATTTGGGGCGAAACACAGTTTTTTAGGAACCATCTCCTGCCTTGAATGTTTTCAATTGTGAATACTCTTTCTCAGTGTAGAAAGTTTGGAAATGGTCTTCTTACCCTCCCCTGAGAGCTGTGTGAAAACAAAACAGTCTCTAAGATATTTTTTTTATGTCTTGCCTCCATGGTATCAAGTTGATTGTGCTGCTTCCATACAGGTGCTCAAACTTCCTAATGCTTAATTAATCAAATCCACTTTTTAAGTGGCTCCTGACTGCTATGTTGTCTCATTATTCCGTCTTGTTGTTTTGTAATATGAGCATAAGAGTGGGATACTTTGCTTTTTCCATTTTCTTTTATACATTCATCCATCAGCTAAACACTTTAACCGTATATGTTTATATACTCTTGCACGTTCATTATCAGTTAAATAAAGTTTGAGTTACAGCATTACGTGTCCCGGGATTAGAAAACGATGGGTTCAGTTTGACACAACGAAGTCTTCCTCATTTAGTGAGTACTTGATTGAAGTTGTCGTTTTTTCCTTTCTTGTGCGGGTTCTCAAAACCTGAAAGACATAATGAACTTTTTTTTTTTCTTCCAAAATTTCTGAAGAGGCCATTTTCAATTCATAATTCTTTTCTCCTGTAGGCTATTGTGTTGTGGTCCGAAGCCCCTCCTGGACAAACCTGATATCTTTCAGAGAGCCCTTTTCTCTGATGCTCTGGTGCACTTGGCAGGGCCTCTCCCTGCTTCTCTCTGTTAATGCTCCCACTGTCATAGCATCTACAAGTTCCAAAACACATTAGACATTTAATAGCCTTGCTCAGGTTGCATTGATCTTATCAATCCAGCCCAGAGAGATATACATCTCTGCTGCCAATGGTGAATAATTTCTGGACTTGCGAGTAAAGTGGCCTCATTGTAGTCAGATCCACCTTCATTTACAATAGAACCTTGCTGAAAGCGAAACTGTTCAATTATTGGCCGGATAAATACATCCATATGAGCCCCACACATTTTTCTGTGATAATTACCTCTGAAACATATTTAAGCAGTAAAACTCCACATTCAGTTCTGATGTTTTTTTAAATGCTGCTCTTCAAAGACCCTGTCTGCAAGTGGAATAAATTATCTCTTATTTCTTTTTTCTATGTTTGTCAGCGGTACATGCAATATTAGCCATCATCAAACTGGCTTGAGTGTGATGTTTTGAATATGTACGAGATGATGAATGTATAATCAGCTCGGGGATGTTATGCATAACAGCAGTGTAGGAGCAGACAGGGCTATATGCAGGAGCAGCCTTAGCTCCGTCAAACACCCAGGTATTATTTGCTATTTTCCTGAGCACGAGGCGTGCATC